GATCACGTACGCCCCTATCAAACCAAAACCGCGATTATTGTAGGGCTGCTGCTGAGGCTGGCTGGCAAGGCGAATGGCCTCATCAATTAGAAACGGCTGGGCGTAGTTGAAGGCGATCTGGAAGAGTTTCGGGACGATGGCCGTGGAAAGAGGGCCGGCAAAGGCGCGGAGCCAGGTGTTGGACAAAGCGCCGGGTACCGTCTTGTCGGGGACTTTTTTTTTTGGTGGTGTCAGTCAGATATATTAGTCCGCGGGACATCTTGTGTTTTAGTTTGAGGGCCGAAAATAGATTACCTTGGTCCCACGCGTCGGCGAGTTTTCTGTAGAGCGGCTCTGAAGCTAGCTTCGGGTCCAGTGGATAGAGGTCATCTAGTCGAAGGATGTTTCTGTATCCGTTGATGAAGAGTGACGTCAACCAGAAGAAGACTGATCTGTTGAAAGTGCCGCTGGTGACCTCCTTGGAATATCCTTTGTGTTGCGAGACTAGGATCCTGCGCTTCTCTGTTGATTCTAGAAGGATCATGACAGCTCTGACGGCTAGCGTACAAGTGAAGACGGCGGGTATGGTCTGATGGGATCCCAGCATCCACAAAGTTCGGGCACGGGCAGTGTCAAACAGAATTGACAGAAACAGATAGGTTGACAGGACGAATGACGGCCTTACGGACCGTTGATGAGCGAGCCATGATAGCAAACCCAATCCTATCGAGGTAATTAGACTAAGAGTGGCGGTGGGAATGGTTGCGCGTGTATGAGTGATAGTCGTTGATGGTGTTGTGGTCCAGAGGACCAGAAGAGCGAGATTCAGAGCCACCAGGGAAATGGATGCAGACTTTCAGAGATCAGCCACTGTGATAGGGGGCAATCTGCCAGGACTAACAGCTTTGAACCAGCGCAGAGTGCTGGGCACGACTTTGACATCGGACCTTGCCAGGCGCAAGGCACAAGTGGGGAGCAACAGCAGGAAGAGAGATTGCAGGGGAATTGCTAGTATGGCCTCCTCGAAGAAAAGTGTAAAGTCGAATCCGCCCCGGCACAATTCTCCGGCCCACGGACCGAGAGAGTCGTCGAGGCCGGAAGAACAAGCCGGCTGCGGAACCCTCATGGTGCGTGCGGGCACCGGGCACTCTCGTGTCGCTGATGGTGTTTCAAGACCAAGGGAGTGAGGCAATTTTAATCAAAGAGAGATTTCAAACAAAACATGGGCCGAATGTAACGCTTTGTGACTTCGTTTAATAGCAATAGCGTCAAAACGAGGTGCCAAACTGAAGAAAGCAATTCCAAAACAGAGTTGCAGCGTGACCAAACTTATGGCACGTCAAGACAGCAGGAAATAAACGGAAACGTTGTGTGGTCGACTGGGAAAAAGACAGAACAGAATGGAAGCGGCGGGTCTGCATTCGCCGTATTACATGCCGCAATCCTTCGTAAAGTCCCAGGTTGGAGGCAACAGCCTTAGGCAGAGCGGGCAAGTTTGCTGGTGTTGACGTCGAGTTGCCAATCACATCAAGGTGTCCCTGTATCGAGGTGCGGCACAGCGGCAGCTAGACACAGTCACCCCGTGAATTGCCCAAAGCGGAACCGGTCTCATCTTTGACTGATGGACCAGATGACAGTCCACGTCAACCACGATGGAGGATTGAATGTCCGATGTAAGAAAGGGACGAAAACCGATCGGCTCGAAGCAGCAGCGCCGAGCAGCATTTTGGTGCTAGTCAAGGAAGTTGCACCGGACGACTCGGGCCCCGTGCATCGACACAATACGGCGTATGAGTTTGGCCAGGCAGGTCAGGTGTGTGCGTCTGAGATGAATGAATGGACGGATGGATGCAGCAGCACTGACAGGAAAAGACAGGAAATCTGGAACCGATGGGCGCATCCAGTCTGACCGTGGAACCGTCCAAGTTAGAGGTTCATGTTGATGAGATGACTTTCTCCAGACTTGAGATGATTGATGTGGCGGGTGTCATGTAAGGCAAGGCGTACAGTGTAGAAAGTTGAGAGCCTGCTGTGCCTTTGGGTAGCCTACCTAGCGTGCCTAGGTGAAAGACGGCCATAGGTAATTGACTCATCCGGGAGCGATAACGACATCTGACCACCACCATCATGTCGTCTGGAGTTGGTCGTGTTCATCTTTGCTAAATACAGAACTGTACGATTCGAAGCAAAACGGGTGTGTGCAGAGAGCAGAGTCATTTGTAATCTCAACTTTGGGACAGCAAGGAACCTTATGGTACCAGCCATGCGGTGTCCCACGTGTAGAAGAGCCGCAGTGGAAGGGAGGTCCCAACCACATCTGAAATAGGGACTCGTCACCTCCCACGTGATTTGGACTGTGCTTCAGCCTCTGTTGATGCACATGGAAGGCACGTCTACACAGTACCTACCTTACCTTACCTACCTTAAAGTACCTTGGCACAATGATGGAAGGAAGTAATTGAAGAGACAGAGAGGGAAGGAGTGAGAGCAACACATGGGCAGTGAAAGCAAGAGCGAGGAGATGTGGAATGACAGCGACGTGATTCCGATGGGTCTTGCCAAGACGGGAGTCACAATGGGGCCTTCCTTCTGCTCGGGTCAAGTCTGGGTCGACCATATCGCATGACAGGGCAGTCACTACTTCGGACTCACAGACTGCTACTGCCATGTTGGGAACTTGGGGCGAATAATTACTGGGAACCTGGATGGCTGGAAGACAACCTGGGAATCCAATGGAAAAGATGGGGGTCGTTGGGGAGAAATTGAGAAGGAGGGGCCCCCCCCTTCAGTCAAAGTACCTAATGCGAACCGTCCGTCTCCTCTTCATTTTCGTCGTGGGGAAAGCAATGCACCAGCATCATTGACCAAGCTCCTCTCTCTCCTGTGTCTGATTTTCCTCGCTCGCCGATCACTGCTCTGCTCTCCCGCCTCCTTTCTCCATGATTTCCCAAACAGGATCGCAGCACATCCGTTCATCCCCTGATTCTCCTCGCCAAAATGCTTGGCCTCTACTGTAATTCTCAAATACTGGGGCCGCCCCGGTGATCGCCAGACTCCAGAAGTCGCCTGAGGTCTGCTTCTGACTCTGACTCTTACTCTGACCCAAGCCAAGAGTCCCAAGACTCCAAGACTACTAGGCAGAGTCGGATTCACCAAGAAAAAAAGAGAAAGAAAAAAAACCAGACCAGAAAGACTAAAAGAAACCAAGAGATTTCTGATACTCGCAACCAAGGCCGGAAGCATCGCCAATACCGAGCGCCTCTCTTGGTATTTCTTACTTCTGCTCTGTTATTCCCACCTCAACAAGAACGCCATGCTGCTGTGGTCTTGGCCAGTGTTGCGCGACGATCATCGCCCGACTTTGTCAATCTCCTCGAGACAGAAGTCCTTGGCAATTCGATGCACCAGTTGAAACACCGTCCCTTCTCTCGACTTCGATCCCTCGACCCTCGAGCCATGTCACCAGGGTGCGGAGACTCCCAACGTTGCCTTGTGTTCTAGCCCTCGGCATTTATTGTGTCAAGGGATGGGAACGGACGGCATGGACTGGGACGGAATGGCGCAGCAACCGGAACCCGCGGCACCGCTTCCAAACAAGCATCTCTCCAGTTGAGATCCCCCAATTTCTAAATGCCTAACTAAGCAGACACTGCAAATCAGACAGCCTTCAGGAACATTAGTGCGGCGCAAAAACGGAAGAAGGAGAGCGATGTAACGGTATCGACCAGGGCCAAGCTTCGAGCCTTCAACGCTTGAGTGCGGCTCACAAATCAAGCTCGTGGGGACTCGGAGCTTGTCTTACTTGCAACACCCTACAGATACAATTACGGCCATCGTAACCGGTGCCCTAGCAGAGATCCAACAATTCTTTGCAAATCCTGCCATTCAGACCACTTTTTGCTTCTGCAACGCCTAGGGGGCTGGTTCCGATTCACGAGAGACTCCCCTGCTTGTCAAGAAACAGCCCAGGGTACATCGTTGCAATTCTGAAATTTAGACTTCGTCGCTTCGCGCATGCTCATCCTTCAAACGCCATCCCAGCAACTCACCTCTTCAAATGGGCGGCATCCCACTCGACACCAGTGCCTTAGGATGGAGACAGGCACGCAGAGGGGAAGGAAGACTCTAGGTGGGAAGCGAGAGGCGTTCGCGATTTTGGCCAAGCGCCCTTTTTGGCGGTGTTTCATCCCAGGTTTGACAACCTGTCCTCCGATCAAACCGTTCAATCCCCATGGCTGTTCCACTAACCAACCGCAAGGTACGCGACCTTGGGAATACTACCACCACCGTCACCACCGCACAAGCATCAACACATGCCAACCAGGGCAGGACGGACACTGGTAGTCTAGTTCCCACGTTCTGTGTGTACGGGATTATGGATGCAGCCTATTACCAGGTCTGGCCACCGTCAAGCAGCCACCACCGTTGGGTCCCCCCGTTCTCCGCAAGCCTCAGTTCTGGAGAGGTACAAGGATCCGCCGCGGCGGGGCCGTTCTGAATCACCAACCGTCTGATCAACAGTCGCCCTCCATGGTCACCACCGGCACCCTCAACCGCAAACGCATGGTAGCGATGCCCATCATCAATCGGCTACAGACACCTTTTCTGCTCTCTCTTTATTTTGGGACCTCGTCTCCGCTTTCCCCGGCTCACGGCCGCTCCGGGGTTTGGCGCGACATGGCGCCGTCGTGATGCTTGGCACACACCTCTTCCCATTCGCCATCACTCTTTTTCTCAAACTGAGGACCCGACTCCCCTGCTCCACCAAACTGCACTGCCCTCGCGATGGATCACAGTCTGTGACATGGCTATTGGGCAAAGACAGCGTTCACCTAATTTGTTTGACAAGACGTCTCAATTCCTTGGCACTGTGACCTCATGGTTGCAATTAGTGCCTGCTTTACCTGCGGCATGATATTCCGAGGGATCTGGATCCGAGTGAGATTCGCAGAAAGCTTATACTCTATATCAACCCAGCCCGATCTGGCCTTGATTTCGGTTTCTTTTCTCTCGACACTCTCAAGTCTTCAACACAACAACATTTCTGTTTCAGTTCCTTCACTTTGGCTGGTCCAGTCTTTCCTCGAGTGTCTTTCTCATTTCTTCCATTCTCGAATTCCAATCTCTGCAGGTTCTGTGAACCCTTTTTCAGCTGTAAATTATACCATCAACTTTTTTCTTCATCTCTTTGACTAGAGACATTCAGCACTCCTTCAAAATGAAGAGCTCTATCCTCCTTTCCATTGCGGCCATCGCCGCCCAGGTCATCGCCCTCCCCACTCTGGCAGATCGATCCGTGGCTCTTCCCATCAGAGACCTCGACTTCCCGGCTCAAGCTGATGTCAGGCCTGTTCTGCGCCGTGGCAAGGGCCAGCAAGGTATGTCAAAGAAACTCACTCAGAATCGTACGAAACTCATCTGACTTCCAACACCAGCCGGTGACAACGCCGATGTCCAGCAGGAAGGCGAGAACCAAGGCGAGAACGGCGTAGCCGAGAAGAAGGCCAAGAAGGACGCCGCTGCAGCCGGAGGAGCCGATGCCGCAGCCGGCGGTGCCGCCAACAACGGAACTGCCAACGCCGGAGGCAAGAAGAAGGCCAAGAAGGGCAAGAAGAACGCGCAGGCCAAGGCCGCGGGCAAGAAGAACAAGGGCAAGAAGAACAACGACGGTGGCGCTGCCAACAACGGAACCGCCAACGCCGCCGACGGTGGAGCGGCTGGAGGAAAGAAGGCCAAGGCCGCCAAGAACAACGCTGCCGCGAAGAAGAACAACGCTGCCGCCGACAACGCAGCTGGCGGCGCGGCTGGTGGTGGTGCTGCCAACAACGGAACTGCGAACGCTGATGGCAAGAAGAAGAACGGAAAGAAGGCCAAGGCTGCCGAGAACAACGCTGCTGGAGGTGACGCTGCGAAGAACAACCAGGCGGCTGACGGCAACAACATCCTCTCTTCCATCCTCGGGAGCGTAAGTAATCTCAGAGACGTCTGCTGCTGAACATTAGCTAACATTTACTCGCAGATTGGTGGAGGCGGTGCAGGTGGCAACGCTGCCAACGCCGGTGGTGCCAACAAGGCCCAGGCTGACCGGTCTTCTCGGACGTGATGAGGAGTCAGCCGACCTGGCTGAGCGTGACGGCCACGAGCTTGTCCAGCGCGGCGAGGAGGAAGCCGATCTGGAATAAGCGGGAGTGGACGCTCGACTGTTGAGCGGCTCCAGATGCCGAGGCCCCAGGGCAACAAGCCGAGTCGGAGCCTGGGACGGTTCCGGGCGGTCCCAGCGATCACCGGAGCGGTTTTGACGGGCTCGACCGGTGGCAAGTATGAAGCAAAGGCAGCTACGCTGGTAGAGCTGTTTCCGAGTGTGTTTGTCTCGAGGACGGAAAAGAAATGAATTTTTTTGTTTGGTTGGTGCGCACATCTCGCTAGCCTGATCTCACTTGAGATTTCAGTAGGCAGCTGTTTCTGTCATCGCCGATGGGCTTCCTGAGGCATACACGGGAATCTTCACTCAATGAACAAGAGGTCCTTGGGATTTGTACAACTCTTTGTAATGTTCTGGGACAGTTTTCATTTGTAGGAAATTGAATGAAGGTGTGCACCGCAATTTTTAGGCCAAATCCCCATATTGTAAAAGAGTAGTTGTGATACCATGACAGTGAGAATTTGATTCAAAACTCTTCAAATGAGCGTGTTATGAGCGGTGATGCATTGGTAGACTTGAGATTCAAGACTGAGTGAGAGAGTGAGCGTGGTTCATGATGTTACGCAAAGAATGAGGGTAAGCATCGACTGTGATGTGAGAGACTGAGGGAGGGCCCAGCGGAAGTCGAGTCAAGCTTAGAATCTTGGTAGACTTGGGCCGGTGACAGACAGGGGCACATCCAGGGACGACCGGGGTTGGAGCTCCGGGGTCGGCGGTCGGTCATCGACACGTGAGGCAGATGATTGGCAGGCGATAAGGTGCAGATTAGCGGCCCCTCAACGACCCTTGTCGAGCTTTTTAGAGTAGGTAATTGACTTTGCTCCTAGACTCCTCCCTCCACCTTTGCAGCAACCGCTCTCGACCAACAACAGCAAGACACCACGCGTCCACTCAGGTCTTGGCCTTGAGGATAGACTTGTCCTAGGAAGGGAGTTGGTCCGGCTTGTCTTACGGGGTGTTCGGCTCATCTATCAGTCTGGTCTGCTCTCCTATCATGGTTGGAAGTGTTGGTAATGACATGCTGATTGCTAGCTAGTCTCTTTCCTTTCTCTATCTACCTCACAGATATGGCCCAGGGTCCAAAGCAAAGCTGCTTTCTTGCGTACTCCTCTCGCCTTTCCCCCACACACCCGTTCTCAATTCAACCTTTTCGATATGCTTAGGCCAGGTTTTCCCCACTGAACTAGACACCAGCTAGGCCACTCTCCCGCCCTCGCCCTCGCAGGAAGCCTTCACCTTCCCGATTGAGCCATGGCCAGCCAATACAGCGCCGCGATGGGGGATTCAAGGTTGATGCGGGGCCCATCCATGATCCTAGGTCTCTGCCGGTGCCGTTAGCCCAGGTTTCTTATGACAACCTAACAAGAACGTGCCAGGCACGCATCGCTCTAAGAGGTCAATTGATACGACCGGACCCCTGCTCTCCGCTCGATAGAGAGAATCATTGTCTTTCCGTCTTCCCTCCAGTGAGGAAGACCAAACGGCCTTGGGGATCTTAGATATCGAGTGCGTAATATCGGAGCTGGCCGCGCTCTCCTCTCTCTTGTTGTCCAATCCTATCGCGTACATGGGCTCTTGGAGCGCATCCGACGCGGGTTGCTCACATGCAAAGGAGGCAGCTCCCGCGATGCAAGGGCGGAATGGATCGCTGGATCCCGGGGGACCCAGCGAAGCAATATGGTACAGCTTTCTTGGCAATTCGCAACTTTCTCGGCACGATACGACCCTGACCAGGGGAAACGGGGGACCACGACCGCGGGCTGAGAGAGGTTCAGCTCCATCCTACATATAGTGGTGACTTGCCCCGCGATGGGAGTAAACATGGACGATCCCTTTTGTTCCTCTCTTGCTTAGGACGTTGTGAATCCAGAGAAAAGAGCTTCATTGTCTTTTGTTCTCTCGTTTGACGCGCGGTGTAAACCTGTTGTCAAGATGAAGGTCACTTCCCTCTTCCTCTCCGCCGCCGGCGCCGCCTCGGCCCTGACCATTGCCGAGATCAACGGCAACAAGTTCCTCTCCCCGTACAAGGACCAGTCCGTGACCAACGTCACCGGTCTAGTTCTCGCAAAGGGACCTGCCGGAATCTGGATCCGCTCGACGACGCCCGACGACGACGATGCCACGTCCGAGGCGCTCTACGTCTACGGCAGCACCGTCGGCGCGAACTTGACCGTGGGCGACCTCATCACTCTGGATGGAAAGATCCAAGAGTACAGGTAAGACAAAGTCGTGAATCCCCAATGCCACGCTGAGCCCCGTTCCTCTAACAAAATAACGAAAAAAAAACAGGTCCGCCACGAACTACATCTACCTCACAGAGCTCAGCTCCCCCAAGAACGTTGTCGTCGTCTCAAAGGGTAACGAGGTCACCCCGCTCGTCATCGGCGTCGACACCCTGCCCCCGCCGACGGAGGAGTACAGCGGCCTCGACGGCGGCGACGTCTACGCCGTCCCCAACGCCGTCGCCAACATCTCCACCGAGAACCCCGTCCTCAACCCGGCGCTCTACGGCCTCGACTTTTGGGAGTCGCTGAGCGGCGAGCTCGTCACCATCAAGAGCCCCGTCGGCGTCTCGCGCCCCAACCAGTACGGCGACACCTGGGTCATTGGCGACTGGCCCGTCACCGGCCGCAATGCGCACGGCGGCATCACCATGTCTGACAAGGGTAAATCCTACTACTCCCTCTCATAACCCGTAAAAAGACTAACACGGACAAAAGACTCCAACCCCGAAGTCATCATCATCGGCTCCCCCCTCGACGGCACAAAGAACCCCGAGTCCAAGATGGGCGACGAACTCACCGAGATCACCGGCATCGTCACAAACGCCTTTGGCTTCTACCGCATCCTCCCCCTGACCGCCATCACAATCACAAAGAACGCCATCAACAACGCCCCCGCCACGACCCTCGTCAGCCGCGGCGACTGCAGAGGCATCACAGTCGGCGACTACAACGTCGAGAACCTCTCCCCGACAGTCGCCCACCTCCCCTCCGTAGCCTCCCACATCGTAGACTACCTCAAGACCCCCGACCTCGTCTTCGTCCAAGAGATCCAGGACGACAACGGCGCCACCAACAACGGCGTCGTCTCCTCCAACCTCACCCTCTCCACTCTGACCGCCGCCATCGAGACCAAGTCCGGCGTTGTGTACGACTGGGTCGTCATCGACCCCGTCGACGGCAAGGACGGAGGCCAGCCCGGAGGCAACATCCGCGTCGCGTACCTCTACAAGCCCGACGTCGTCGAGCTCTACAAACCCAACCCCGGTGGCGCGCTGGATGCCAACGAGGTTCTCGAGGGCCCTGCGCTCAAGTATAACCCCGGCCGCATCGACCCCACCAACACCGCGTGGGACGCCAGCCGCAAGCCCCTCGTTGCACAGTGGCGCGCCGTCAACGGGCCCGCGAACAAGACGTTTTTCACCGTCAATGTGCACTTTGCGTCCAAGGGTGGTTCCTCGTCTCTGCATGGCGACCCCCGTCCTCCCGTCAACGGTGTTGTCAACCCGCGTATCGAGCAGGCCAAGATCACCGGCGTACGTTCCCCTCCTTACTCCAAACCCTTTAGCAGAAATCGCAAGCTAACTCGAGAAATATAGTCCTTCATCGCCGAGATCCTCGCCCTCGACGCAAACGCCCGCATCATCACCGCCGGCGATTTCAACGAATTCGCCTTCGTCGAGCCCCTGAAAGTCTTTGCCTCCACCTCGGGCCTCATCGACCTCGACGAGGCGGTTGGTATCCCCGTCGAGGAGCGGTATACCTACGTCTACGACATGAATGCGCAGGAGCTGGATCACATGTTTGTCAGCCCTGCGCTGGCGACCAAGAACGGTACGGCGTACGAGCACATTCACGTTAACTCGTGGGAGTTGTATGATGATCTTGTTAGCGATCATGATCCTTCTGTTGCGTTATTTAATGTTTGTGGATGTTAAGAAGATGATGCGAAGAGCGTGGGTGATGTTTGGGGATGTTTATGCTTGTAGATATTACTTTTGTGATGGGTTGAGATGTATATGAGATATGAGAGTAATACATAATGCCAGAATGAGATCATCAGTCGAGTATTTCATGGCACTTGTTATATCTTTGATATCTATTCATTCTGATTTCCAAAGCCACTCAAACCACCATAACTCATGCTTTTCTTGGGCTTTCACTTGGCTGACTTGTGAACCTTCAGCATGCGATCTTCGTAACCTTTTCTAATTCGTCTCTATTTCCATACTCCCTGTTATCCCCTTATCACATCTCCTAGAAATAGTGGTACTATTCCGACTAGATTCATAAACACGGTCGATATTGAAAGTAACGTTGAACACGATAGGATGGTACAGTCATAGCCCGCTTCCTCGAAACAACTTTGTTACTGTCTCATTTGGCTAGTCTGAATAAAATCGAAATGGAAAGCTACAGAGTTTAAATGGAATTCAACCATGAAAGAATCTGCAAAAAGGCTTGATAAAGGCAGGGAAATCCTGTGCATCTCGAGCCCCCTGACCAATTGTCTAAAAGAACATGTATCCACTCAAATTATACGGATATCCTCCCAGGGAAAATCATCCATTTCCTTGTGAAGCTTGGAATACTCGCCGATAAATGCCCTCTCTAAAGGGAGGATACGTGTCTCTGTCTCCCGCACGAAGTCAAGCAATGGTGCCCACTTGACTTTCACTGCAGCCAGATATCCTTCTTGCTTCTCCTCGCATCCCTCAGGCTCACTTGAAGCCAGGTCTACATCTTCGCTAGCACGAGAGCGGCCAAGCTTGTCTTCCGCTTGAAGTGACCACACGTGGCATGTGTGGATGAGGTCGGCCGTCCAAGCTTTTATGTAGGCGTCATATTCTCGGAGAAGACCGTGGTCTTCAAGGGAGTCGTTGATTTCCAGAATGTCATAGTGTTCAAGAAAATCGTTCACAAGGATGAAGTCGGTTTTTTGGGGGACATCAGGGTCTCGATTTAAGTCGGCGTCTCGGATTCGAAGTGACTTGGTTCCAAGAAGAAAGGCCTCGCGACCTGCGAAGTCCATGGATTTTGTACTTGTTCGTCTTCTCGACTCATTTGTTCGTCTTCTCAACTCAGTTGTTAGTCATGTCGGCCTTTCAACAGGGCGTACATCCGTGAATTCCCTGCCAATGATTAATTCCAACTCGCCAGCTGGACCAAGTATTTCCTCAAATCTTTGGCTCAGAATGATTTCGGTAAATCTTCTTGGGGTAATTTTACCGAAGTCTGTCCTCAAGTCAATTTTCTCGCCGTTGAGGTCCTCAACATCATCCCAGAATAATGCCAAGGCGTCTTCAAACGTATGTTTGGAAAGCTGTTGCCACGGAGCGCGCCCTCTCCATTGCGCTCTTTTCCAAGCCCATCGCGCGAAATTTTTTGACCTCTGAACTTCTTTTGGCTCTGTATTCTTTTGCACTGCTAAACCCAGCAGTATCCCCCGAACCTTCGGGTGTTCGATGTAGGCTCTTATCGTGGTTTGGAGACACTGCCCGAGAAAGTGCAGTGGGCTCGAGTCGCCAGCTTTCACTTCACCAGAAATATCCGTTTCCGGGAAGTTCCCAATCCACTCCTCAAGCTCCTCCAGATGATGAGCAAACGCCACTAGACCATGCTGCTCCACTACACAGCACTGCTTAGAATCCTCGGTAAGCTTACGCATGGCAGCCTGGTCATGAAATGGCTGCTCTCTATGTCCCGATACAGTGAAAGAGTCTAATAATCGCCTTTGGTTTCTTCCAAGTTCCAATGCTTCTTAATGTTCTGGCATACGGCCCTGACCGTATCCCAAGTCGTGTCAAGAAACCAGAGCGTCCCACTGCTTCCTATTTCAAGCAAATGTAGCCATGTTGAGAAAAGCAGAATAGCCTTGCGATCGATCAAATCGAGGTATCCGGATGAGCTGTGGGCCTTGGGCTCTTTCACAATGGCCACATGACGATAGGCTTTGCTAGCATTCACGATCGGTCGAAGTACTAGAAGGAATGGCCAGAGTCCTTTGATTTGAACAAGTTCGTCATTTGACTCGGCCCAACCTGGCAAGGCTCCTTGTGAACTAGTCCCAGGTCTGTGATAGACTTTGCCAAGGATTCCGGGCGGACCATCTTGACATAGATGGTCGAGGAAGCAGCTTGAAAGCTGAGATATCGGGCGACCCTGGACGATCAAATAACCATCGCGGTAGAATCGAGGCAAGATCGAATGAATCTCTGATTCGCATTTGAAATCGGCCTTAGAAACTGCCTGAGGTAGAAGTGGCCTCATGAGATTCAAGGCGGTCCCCGAAGACCAGTCGACAGTCCACGAAGGACAGGAATCTGAAAATCTTGACTGTAGTGCTGCGAAGATCGGCAGCATGAAAGCAGGACTTTGGGAAAGCAGATAAGCAGTGAAACCACTGTATACCTGCTCCTTGCTAAGCGAGTAGTCTGAATTCAATTGAGCTTGTTTTGCGTCTTGTAATAGGCCAAACAAGGCAAAAAGCTTGTCCCGGGGGTCTGTAGCCTCACATAAGACAGTGGCGCGCAGTAGATGTGGGAGTTTTTCTGAGTTCATCCAATTCCCTTTCGGGAGCATTTGTAGCCACTTCATATCTCGATGGTAGTTTTTGACGTCGTTTCGCTGGAGAAACTCCTTCCATCGGTCGCCGCTTGTCCCAAAAAGAACCCATGAATCTTGCGCTGCAGCTATCTCTTGGATCACCCATACTCTCTTGAAGTATGGCTGTTGCATGAGATCTTTGTGCGCAGGCAAAGATCTCTTGTAATATGTGTTCCATTTGTCGAAGTTCCATGGAGATGAGCCGGTGGGATTCATGTCTTCTTTGTCTTCACCTAAGTATATCAAAACCCTGGAGGCAGTTGCGTAGATATTTTGCATGATACCAACTTGATGGGACCTCTCGCCAACATCGTTCTGGTTGATACAGATGGCGTCAAGCCATAGCTTTCTTTGCCGGCCGGGGTATCGCAGACGGCGAAGAGCATTAGAGCAGTTCTTGGTGACGAGGAGAACATCCCATCGCTTCCCGATATAAATCCTCTCGCATTTAGAAGAGTCCCCGTTCTCGTCAGCCCATGTGTATGATACAGCTTCATACTCCGGCTTGACGGCCAAGTCTGCCACGTGAACGTCGACTCGGATTGGATCGTGGTAAAAGCCTTTGCGTAAATCAAGGAGTCGGATCTTTCGGGCGACTATAGGTTTGTATGGAACCTCGCCTTGCGTGGGAGAATCGACCTTTTTGCTCACATCCTTTGGTGATGGTGCTTTCTGCTCCGCAATTGGGTCTTCTAGTAGACTAGAATCCGGTGGATCGTCTACGAAAGGCAAAGAAGATGGCCATACGAGCTCAATTTTGGTCTTCGAAGCTGGTACTGGTGGCGCGCTGTGGTACTGAGCCTCTGTATCGCCTTCCGGTAGGGCAGAGCACCCACAGTTGGCACAGGTCGGTAAACCCAGGCCTTTCGAGAAAATAACATCGGGAGTCCGACAGGTCTTGTCGTGCCAGTTGAACATGGCCGTGACTCACTCTCCTTTGGGCATGTGTTGACAGAATCACCTCGTGGTACTAGGAGGACGTAGAAAAGCAATCACGAGCGCAGGCGGTCTCGCAGAAATCTATAGACTGAGAGTTGGTGGCATGGCAAGTGTTTAAGTCAAGGAAGACTGGGTTGGCGGGACATTTGACAGCCCAGCACATGACCCAACCGTTGTTGCACATCGTCAACTGCAAGTCTTACTGGCTCAAGAGACTGTGTCTGGGCCGTGGCGCAGACGCTGCGCCTACCATTTACATTTTCTAAGTGTAAGCCTCCATTCAAGTACGAGAATCAAACTGATAGGGGGAATCGACATTTTGATTTGCCGTTGGATCTGCGAGACGCCTATCGCCTACCCCCTTTCACTCGCCGAAGCAGGCTGGAATCACTGCATATGATGACATGCATAAGCGGTTCGAATAGACTGCCAATGTGTATGGATGTGCTCACAACCGACACTTTCAGTCACTGGAGATGTGGCAGCCGTCTATTCCTCGCCCCAACCTGCCCCGTCAACAAGTGTTCTCCCACACTCGCCGTTGCCAACCACTGCGCCTTGCATAGACAATACTCGTCCTGCATGATGCTTGGGGCGATGTGCTAGATAAGATGAATGTAGATGTTGAGGCAGCCATCAAAAAATCTGCAAAGTAGAAAACTCCCTGCTACTCTCAGTCCTTGCCACGGATATGTGTAACACGGCATTGGATGTATCGGAGCGTGGGACCAGCCTCGACCCAAGTGCATCTTGCATGAACGGAGAACGTTGACAGAGATTTAAGTCAACGAAATTCGTTTATTCTAAACTTGGCATGCGATACACCATTTCCGGGTTTGTTTGAATGTCCTGGATATGGCATTGGTACCCCGGGTGGAGTCTTACTCTTCTGATTGGCGAGAAGACTTGCCTTTTTCAAAGCAGTCCAAGTTGTTGACCAGAATCGACAAAACGCAAACATGACAACTTGGTAGCATTCGGGACATACGAGGTTCCCAAAATTTCACTTGCCTAATTTCACTTCAAGGTGGGCGATTTGAGCGCCCACATAGTTGATGTATCTCACATTGCCTTAGTTCAGGCAGGAAGTACATCATTGGAATCTATGCAAGATAGCAGCGAAGCCTTCTTCTTGGTTTCCGTTTCCTGAGAAGACTTGCTACAATTTTTCTGGTGACATTTGTCAATATGTCACACTTGATTCCATGGTCTGCCGTATTGACATAGAGATGTGAGGGAGGGATGGGGTGCTTTGGTTTCAGGCCAGCAAAATTGTATCTCATATTCATTGATCATACATCCAGCTTCATCGATTCAATGCACAACCTACACCAGATACCTCAACGCTCCGAACTCAATTCTCAAAACTCGAGTCAATACCTCACCTCAGTACAACTCCTATACCAACGCCAGTCAACCTCGCAAACCCCCTAAACTTTACTCTCCCCCTTCGCTCCCTCCACACTCCCCTCCCCACCCTTCTTCTCATCCGGCGCAAACGTCAAACTCACACTGTTAACACAATGCCTCTCATCCGTCGGCGTATCAAACCCTTCCCCCTTGAAGACGTGACCCAAATGCCCACCACAGTTGGCGCACACAATCTCGGTGCGCGTCATGCCGAACATGCGGTCCTCGTGGCGGACGACTGCGCCGGGCAAGGAGTCAAAGTAGGCCGGCCAGCCGCAGCCCGACTTGAACTTGTGCGTGGCTTTGTAGAGGGGTGCTTCGCACCCGGCGCAAGCGTAGACGCCCTCGGCCGGGTAGTGCTTGTCGAATTTGCCGGAGCCGGAGGGTTCGGTGCCCTTTTCGCGGAGGATGCGGAATTGTTCTTTTGGGTTGTTAGTTTTATTCATTTCATGTTTCTTACAATCTATGAAGACCACTCATCTCGCACAAGTCCGGCTTCTCATACAGGAGACGCCGCACGTAAGATGAAATGAGAATGGGAGCTAAACATACCCTTATTCAAAACAGCCCGCCACTCATCATCAGACCTCTTATCGGGATACGACATCTTATCCTGCTGCGAAGCGGAAGACCCAAACAGAGCGCCCAGGAACGGGATCGAGGGCATGGAAGCGCGGAGGAGCTGGCGGTTCGCTGCGAGGGGCGTCTGGGAGCTCAGAGACTGCGCGGCGCGGACGCGGGAAAAGTTGGAAAAGGTGTAGACGAGGGTTGAGAGGAAGGGTGAGAATCGCATTGGGCAATTCTTTCCTGATCGCGAGCTGTAGTGTATCTCACCAGTCTTATGAGTTGGTGAGTTTGAGGTTGTTGTGTTACTTTATCGATGAGGTTGAGGTTGATGGGGAGGTTTATATAAGAATGTCGTCTGAAGATGTTACAGAACGAGGGGTGAGAAGAGAGGCAGTGGAGGGCAGAGCAGGAGTGACAAATCGGAGCACCAGGGTCTTGTCCAATGATTTGTACCTGTGGCCAGTGGGAAGCTGAGGGCGACCTGTTGCGTCAACGACTTTTGGCGGGGGACGGTTCTGCAGTGCGAAGTTCCCCGGGGGTCCGGGCTTGCTTTGGAGCTTGGGCGGGCTTGGAGAGAGGTCCCGCCACAGTGGCACTGCAAGCGCCACAGCGTGGAATCATGATGAAATCACGGCAAAGGATTCCACGACGTGCACGTTATCCGAGGATCCACCGGGTCACGTTTGGAATCCTCACATCAGCATCAGCCACGCTCAGGTCATTCATTCAGTTTGGAATCACCGTGTTGAGGGATTCGACATTTGAAATGTTTTGATTATTGAATCGGGTTTATTCTTCCGCCGAAACCCTCATAGGCCATATCTCATGGCTACTATTGACGCCTCACCAAACACCGCCCGACGAGGCAACTCCGCTGACTTTTCATACGCCGCATATCGCTCTCATCCCGCCCGTTGCCTCTCACCGAACGCCGTTCACTGCTAACTTCATCTCATTCATTTCCACTCATGACTTTACTGTTGGTCAACAAGCAGTCTCATAAACTGAGCGCTTAGAAGTTGTCCTTGCCGGCAAACTTCTCATTCTGGACAACCTCGACCCAGTAGTTATCAGGATCCAACAAGAACGCAACGTTCTTCATGCGGCCGTCAGTGAGGCGCTTCTTCCAGTTGCACTTCAACTCCTCGAAACGCGCGCACGCGGCGTCAATGTTATCGACCGTGACGCCTATCCTCTGATTAGCCCCGTTCTTTCCATTGCCTTCAACGTCCAGTGCAACCCGTGACTTAGAGACTCAAAGAGAAGGATCAGGGAAAACTCACAAATGTGTCCAAAGCCCTGGGGCTGGTCATTGCCGTTGTGGTAGCTGAAGCTCTCGTCCTTCTCAGTGCCGTGGTTCCAGGTCAACTCGAGGATACCCTCGCGCTGCGCCTGGCTCTCGCCCTCCTTGAGGTCGCCGTAGGCCAGGAAGAAGAGGGTAAAGTCGCTGGCCTCGTTCTTGCGGATCAGCGTCATGCCCAAGACGTCCTGGTAGAACTTGAGCGACTTTTCGTAGTCCTTGACGCGGAGCATCGTGTGGTTCTAAAGCCCCGTGATTCGTTGTTAGCGGTTCTTGCGTCAAACATCCTAACGAAGCCCAATAGAATGGTAGGTAGTCTCACCATTCTGTAGGTAGTCACATCCGTCTCCTTGACACTCTCCGTCTGCTCAATCGGCTTCTGGCCAATAATCTCAACCCAGTACTGATCGGGATCTAACACAAACGCAATATGCCGCATCTTGCCGTCCGTCAGCTTCTTCTTGAAGGCGTACCCGGCGTCCTCGAGGCGCTGGCACGCCGCCTGGATGTTGTCGACGCTGATGCACGTGTGCCCGAACCCGCGGTGCGGCTCCGCGTTGCCGTTGTTGATCTTGTACTCCGGGTCGTTCTCGGTGCCGTAGTTGTGCGTCAGCTCGATGATGCCCTCGCGGTCAAAGGTGCCGCTTCCCGCGGACCGCGCATTGGGTGAGTCGTAGGCCAGAAAGTAGAGGTCGAATTTGGCCTCGGGTTGTTGGATTTGCTTGATGACTTTCATGCCGAGGGTCTCGTAGAACTTGACTGTGAGGCTGGGGTGTTAATAGATCGTGAAGGGGGTGTGCGGTGGTGATGTTTGATGCGTACCCGAAGCTTTGGGGTCCTTCACTCGGATCACTGAAATTCATTAGCAAAAAGTCATGAAGCGGTGATGAAGCAACTTACTCGAGTGGTTGAACTTGTAGTTCTTCACGTCCGTAGTGGCAGCCATGGTCGCGAATTGACTGATTCGTCCTAAAGGCACGAGATGCAATCAGCTACACTGCACTGACCTGGAAGAAGATGGGATCTTGGGATCGCCAAGCCATGGCACAAAACTCACCGATAGGTTTCGTGGTAAGTGTATTCTGGATAAGCTTGATTCTCTGCAAGGCTCGGAGGGAGTTCATAGAAGCAACAAGAATTTGTTCATGCAACAGTTGGTTTTAGGAAGTTCTGGAGGCGGGGCTTAGGTTGACAATTATTTCGGGGATCGAAGCTGCATCAGATGGAGCCTTTTTTCGGATATAACAGCAAAAAAGTGCATGACGATTTGTCACTGTCGAGCTGGGCTTCGGCTTGTCTTGTCGCAGCTCCTTGTCCGAGCAAATAGCTTACCCCGCCACTGAGGAAGCTGCCCCTCACCAGAACCCCACTGACGTCAATATGAAGCCAATAGCGCAGCAGACCGATTTCCCGTCTTAACCAAGGCCGCTCCGGACCCGAACACACTTTGTCGAAGCAACAACATCATCTCGGCCCAACTAAGCCGGAAGGCACTGGTCTTGCGAAAAACTTACTTTCGTTCCAAGGGGATGACATCGTCTACGTGAATTTCCGCTGTGATTGATCTCAAGTCTATTCTGTCAAACACGCCTGCTGCATAACGTCTGTTCCCCATCCTGCCAACAATTCCTGCTCTGCATTTTGGCCCGCTGTCTGATACTAACGCTTCCGGAACGCCAACATACATACAATCTTAGATGTAGTACATCGTGTCCTTCAAGTTCTCGTGCACGCTCACGCTCGAAGTCGACGGACCGCCGCCGCCGCCAATGGTACTGCCAGTCTCTGACGCCTCCGACGCGTCGAAGTAATCAGGGCGGTGAACACGGGCTCGCTCGCACACAATGTCTGCGTAGTATGCCGGGGGGCAGATGCTGACAGCCTTGGTCGCTCGGCCAAACGAGTAGCAGAGGTCGTGAGTAAGCTTCTCGAGGTTGTCCGCCGCCCTGTCGCCAACACCGTACTTATCGCGGAAAATTTCATCCAAGAGCACCGTGTAGTGCGCCGGACGGGCGGTGCCCTTTAAGGCGGTGTGAGCGGTGAGGAAGAAGTCCCAGTAACGCGCTTGAGTGATGCCACGATCGACAACCGTGCCGGCCTTGATGTTGCGCGACTTGGGATCCATAGTGGCTTCCGAGGTCGGGTAGAACCGAGTCTGGTGGCGCTTGACAGACACGATGATCGAGATCTTGGGCCTGCGGTTTCCGTACGTCGCGGTACAGGCTTGGCGGATCATAGGCAGCTCAACATCGAGAACCTGTGTGAACTGACCTTCCGACACACCGTCACGGTAGATGATGATGTATTCCGGGAGATTTTGAGCGTTGCGCGCTCTCCAGAGCTCGAGGCGACGCTTGAAGTGGGTGATCAGTTCGTCACCAAGCATCTCCTGGCGACTGCTCTGTTCCCACGCGACACCCGGCCATTGACCCATGTCCTTGTCAACGCTGGCAACCAAGCCGACCAGACTGGGTGCGGCGTTCTTGTCATTTGGCATGTTGGTCGGGTGGGTGACGTCGTAGCCAACAATCATAGTCTTGCCCTGATTGACAATGTCAATGGGATCCCTGACGATGTGGTTGACACCGCCATTCTTCAGATTCCACTTGAGACCAACATTGGCGTAGGTCTGCGCGTTGTCCTTCATGAAGGTTTTCTCCACAACGCACACAGTGTGGAAGCCGTACTCCGTGTCTGCAAGCGTCTTGATTTTGCTGTACAATGCGGTATCCTGCCTCGGCAGGACGACGAGCAAGAAGACACCCTTGGTAACGTGACTGAGACGCTCGTCCAGCCACCCAAATCTCCTAGCGATCGCGTTGGGGTTGTCACCAATTTCGCGCTCTTCATCTTTAAGCGGAAGAGGGGTATCCGAGATGCTCATGCCGCTGGTCTTGAGGAACTGAACAAAGTTGCCGACGATTCGAGCCACATCGCTGGTCGGGGTCCTCGAATAGTTGTCCTTGATACGCACCCAAGTCCACTTAGGAATGTTGGGTCCAATCTTGGCAAACTTGACATTGACCATGTTCCACGAGCCTCGTGAAGCCGTGATGTTCTTGTTCGCATATGCAATAAGCGGCGTCATCAGCTCGCGACCGTTGACCGTCAAGAGATTCTTGTCGACCTTGAGGCCAAAATCCTTGACGACCTCGCTGTCAAGGCCCAAAGCTTGGCAGCTGTCGACAGTGAGGGAGATGGCGTTGCTGAAAGGGGATCGGCAAGCGAAATTGAGCATCTCTGTCGTCTCCTGGCCGTTGAGCTTTGCACGAACAGCTTGGCCAGGAATGATGGTACACTTCTCAGCAGGGAAGAATGTAGGCTTTTCGCGGGTTCCGAGGTTGACGAGAGGCAAGGTGAGGTCGGGAGCTGTGCCGTACTTCCAAGTCCAATATTGCTCGACTGTGTACATGCCTGGCGGTCTGTTGTTCATCACAGTGTTTTGTCCTTGTGCTGCCGCCATCCTGAAGGACACCTGTCGAGGGCCACCAAAGTGCCATGAATCCGCAAATCTAACATCGTTGCTCCTGATGTCTGACCTGTATGCAAGGCCGAGGATCGTCTTCTTGCGGGTGATCTCTTTTCCCTTGGCATCCTTGAACTTAATCTCGACGCGAGTGCGAGCCAAGAACTTGGACAGGGCGCGAAGTCTGGTGATGACCCGTGAGACATCTGCAGGGCTCCTTTGGAAGACATCGACCTGAGACCAAAGACAAAGGTCGCGAACACTGACGGGCATCTTGAAGACACCATGGGTGACGTTGACGTTCAAGAGCATTGACCCTGTACCCAGTTTCACGCTCTGAAAGTACCCCCGAATAGCCGTGAGAGAATCCTGTCGACCAAGCTGTTGACTGGCAGATCCTTGACCCCAAGGGAAGAACCGGCCCTTGCCAATAGCAGTGACCTGGTCATTCTTACGGGCAGTGTAGCCAAGAATGACGCCGAGGGCATCAACAGAGGTTGCAAACCTAGGGAAGTTGGATTCATCCGGGTCGCTCCTGTCGATCATGGTTTTGAGGTACTCCTTCATTTCCTTCAACGGAGCTTCGGTTTCGCCGACAATCTTGACCAAGTAGCTCTCTGACCTGTCTGAGTTCTCCTGCGTGAAGATGACCTTAATCGGGTTAACGGCCAACTTGAGCTTCTTCAGCGAGACTAGCTGGCTTTTGAACTCTGTGGCGAGAACAGCGCCTGGCTCGAGGTTCTTCAACTCTTCGAGAGCAGCCTGCAGAATGATCTTTAACTTGCGAGCAGGGATGGAAGCTGGAGCACCATCTCCATCGCCGCCGCCGCCACTGCCGCCACCACCAGGCTGGGCCTTCTCCTTTCCTTTGCCCTTGCCCTTGCCCTTGCCCTGAGGTGTAGATTCCTTCTCCTTTGAAGGCTCCTTGTCCTTGGATTCGCCCTTGCGGACTTCAAGATTGTATCGCCAGACGACGTCAGGGTTGACGGTGAGGCGGAAGTAGTTGACCCATAGGAGGACCTTGTTGCCTTTGGTGCCGTAGGCAGGGCGACGGGGCATGAGGGCGGCCGAGTTTGCTTCAATGAGCTTCATCGAGCTCATCTTCTTGACGAGGTCGGTGTCCTTGGCCTGGTGAGACTTGACGATGCGATTCTCGAGCTCGGTTGTGCTGCCATCGAGCTGGGGAATGGGCTTGTTCTGACTGCTAAGAGTTAGTCGAGCTGTAGCAATAGCTGTGATCTTCCACTTACCCGAAGAATTGAGCCTCGCCCTCGAATGGGTCTCTGCGTTCGAAACCGCCGTAACCACCGCGTCCACCCCCACCTCGTCCACCGCGCTCAAAGCCACCTCGTCCTCCCCGATCACCTCTGAAGCCACCACCACGGCCACCACGATCTCCTCCAGGACCGCCGCCACGGCCGCCGCGGTCTCCTCTAAAGCCGCCACGTCCGCCGCCTCGGTCACCACGGAAGCCGCCGCCATCGCCGCCACCTCGGGGTTGGAACTCGCCGCCTCCACGTCCACCTCCTCGACCACCGCGATCTCCTCCTCCTCGACCGCCACGATCTCCTCCACGGCCGCCACGGTCTCCTCCTCGACCACCGCGACCACCGCCCCGGCCTCCACGTCCAGAGTCAGCCATGGAGTAAGTGAGTGAATGTTCAGTAAAGTTGAAGCTAGTTGAGGATCAGTTGCAAGCTCAATTGAGGTCCAGTGCTCGTTGACAGCGACTGTGAAGCTTTACTTACTGAACAATACTGGATTCAGATATTCCCTGGATTACTTATGTGCCCAGCGTCGTTGATGTGTGCAGGCGAAAGGGCCCAGCTAATGTATGCTCTCAGGGGAGAAGGCACATTTGTTATCGGCCAGCGGATGGCGTGCCAAACGCAACGAGCAAAGATTTGGCTGATGGCGAAATAAAGCAAAATGAAAGATGTGTGACAAACAGTGAAAGTACCGAGGGCAACCTAGGCGGGAGGCCGTCGAGACATAAAAAAAAGAATACACCAAGGTATCTAAAGCTACCTTAGCTGAAGATGTATGGAGGTGTCGCGGAAGTTGAGGGAGAGATGAGAGATGGGACGGCAAACGGTAGTGGATCTTGGATTGGGCTGAGAGGCGGGTACCGCACCAAAGAAAGTCAAAAAAGGGTCCTTTCTTTTCCTTCAAGAGGGCACTTGGTAGTCCGGGGTAGCTTCCCACTATCATGAGAGCAAATATGGGTGATTTGTCCAAGGTGAGCCCAATTGACGATGCCCAAGCTGGGAGTTTGCACGTGAAAGAAATGCAATCTTTAAAGCCTCCACTGCCATTGGGACTTGTTCTCGGTGTCTATCTACCTATCAAAGGAGCTAAGCTACTCTGTGCGACGCATCATCAAAGTGTAAAAATGGCGGCGTGAGGAAGGCCTCCATCCAAGTACGTACCACCGTGAACTTTAAGCCCCCAACCAATTTTCTTTCTCTTATTATGTATTTCCCTTGTGGCTCAGCCAACGCCCTGGCAGGCTACCGCTGTATGCACAAACCCATTGTTCCAGGGGCACCCCCGATTGGCTGAGGGTGTTTGATCAGCTTCAAAAGATGGTTGCAAATGCACACCCACACATGTCAATGCAGTGAAGCCCAAAACTGCAAGCGAGGACAAGCCGATAGGAAAAAGCAAAAAAGGAGCGGTGTGTATCTGCTTAACAGCCTACAGGGAAGCAAAAGCAAACGGAGCAGGTAAGGGGCGCGACCTCTTGGTTTGCAATCGGTAACTGGCCGGACCAAAAACACCGGGAACGCGGAGATATGGCTGCCATTTGTTAATATCATCAAGCATTTTGCTCTCCTATGCCACTTGCCGTGTTTCCTGCCGAAGCCTTGTGCTATCAAATCGAGAAAGCGTTTTCTTTCTGGCAACTCCCCACCATCAATTGTGCCATCGCCAGAGAAGGAGGGCATCATCACAGTCCGGCATTTGGGGAAAACGGCTGAGAAGGGACCTTGCAGCGCTTACTGGGTCCGATAAGCTGCAATGGAGACCTAGTCATCCAATCCATTGACCGCACACATCAAGTGATGATTGAAGCCAGGTACGTAGGTGGCCAACAACCACCACTCAAATCGTGGAGCGTTACACAACCTCACGATGAGGAGGCACAAAAAGGAAAGCAGACAGCTTGGAGGACCAGTTCAAAGCGTTTGAATTTTGTTGCCCTCTCCCTATTTTCCTGTCAACACCGTAAACGCCGCCCTTGGAAAAGAGCCTGGAAGCAACTTGTGAAAGGCAGATTGGCCGTTTGACTATTTGTCGTCATCCCGCATTGCGCACCCTTGCATGACAGCGGACCGCCGCATACGCCAGCATTGGCGGCAGCTCGCCGGCGACAATGAAAGCAACGAAATCATGATTGACCTCAACCTATTGCTATTGGGCAGGTTTGACATGGCCAGCCGTAGCCACCTTGAGAATATCGCCTTCAAGCCCCTTAATGTGCACGAAATCGACACCCGCCCTCTCGAGCGCGCTTCGTCCGGTGTTATCCTTGACGAACTTTTCCGGCTCCTGTACGCCAACGTAGACGGTTTTGATGAAAGAGCGCAGTTGGAGAATCCTCTTGGTACACGGCAGGTTCCCGCTGAGCCTCGTCGAGCACGGCTCCATGGTCGTGTAGAGCACCAGAGGCGTCTTGATGACGGTCCCGAGCTCCTCCTCGGCAACGTCGTGCCGTTCGGCCAGCTTCATGAAGCAGCACTGCTCGGCGTGCGTGTTGCCGGGCAGCTCGAGCGTGTAGCCCGTCGAGACGACTGTGTTGCTGGCGGGGTTGACGAGGGCCGCTCCGACTCTGTAATTTGTTGGCTTTGGTGGTGACTGCTTTGCCAGCGAGAGCGCATATTGGAGGTACCCCGCGTGATCGCCTGGCGCTATCGATGCTGGTTGAATGTCCTCGGCCGCTGATGTCATTTTCAAAATAGTCGCCCAAAGTTGGTGTGAGCTGTGAAGATGGCAATGCCCAGGGGCTTTGAAATATTCTCCTACTGCAAAATAAAATGAGTTGGACTGGAATCTCATCTGATATTGTACAGTTACAAAAAGTAGCTTTCTTCCGTGAGACAGTCGCCGTGGGAGGGGCAGAGGGGCAGGGGAGTGAAGCTCTTGCCTCAGCTCAGCGCATCGGTGCCGCAAGCCCCGGTCCGCCGACTTGCTGAGGTTGATCCCTAACGCACGGCCCACCAAACGATCCGAACCTTGAACCCATGCGCCCCACCACTTTAGCAGGCGCGTCTCTACCAGCTCGAGCGCGTCGCAGAGCTCCAAGTGAGCTTTCTGTCTATCACCAATCCAACATTCACCTCCCCACAGCCTTCAAAATGTCATCTCCCGGCGAATCCGTTGACGACAATCCCCCTGAAATCGATCCCTATGAGATTTTGGGACTCGAACGCGAGGCTACACCAGACCAGGTCAAGTCGGCATATCGAAAAGCAGCACTCAAGAACCACCCAGGTATGAGGGAGACAGCCCATCGTCATCGTGGGTCATAATTAACATTACCTCTTGCGCAGACAAGGTCTCCGACGACCAAAGAGATGAAGCGAAAGAAAAGTTCCAGGAAATCGCTTTCGCGTATGCCATCCTTTCCGACCCGGCGCGACGCAAGCGATACGACACAACCGGTTCCACGTCCGAGTCCATTATCGACTCGGAGGGCTTTAACTGGTCTGATTACTACCGCGAGCAATTCCAAGATGCGATTTCCGCAGAAGCCATCGAAAAGTTTGCCGAGAAATACAAGGGCTCCGACGAGGAGAAGGACGACGTGTTGGTCGCCTATGAAAAGGCCAAGGGCGACATGGACGGGGTCTACGAATCGGTCATGTTGAGCGACGTCCTCGAGGATGACGAACGTTTCCGCCAGATGATCGACGAGGCTATTGCCAGCGAAGATGTCCAGGCATACAAGCGATACACGAAGGAGAGCAAGCTGTCAAAGGCGGCTCGCGTGAAGGCAGCAAAGGGCGAGGCGAACGAGGCTGAGGATTACGCCAAAGAGCTGGGAGTCCACGATAAACTCTTCGGCGACAAGAAGGGCAAGGGAAAGAAGAAGGGAAAGGATAGCGGAGAGGCCGACCTGGCTGCGCTCATCCAGGGCAACAAGCAGAAACGCGCCGGGTTCCTGGACGATCTCGCTGCCAAGTATGGAGCCACTAGTCAGCCTAAGAAGGGCAAGAAGAGGGTCGTGGAGGAGGAAGAGCCGTCAGAAGAGGCATTTCAGGCTGCAGCTGCACGGTTGAAGAAGCCCAAGGCAGATGAGAGCAAACCTGCCAAAGCGGGAAGAAGATCGAAGCGGTAAAACATGACATTTCCGGATTGGCGTCTAAGGTTTGGGGGTAAATCGGCAAGGATATGGAAATCTTGGTATGGGATTCAGTCGGGTCAATGAAAGTAGTACTTCTGAGCATTGACAAGAGACTTTTGTCATGTTTTCACAATCCCCTTCGATGACTCGCAACTTTGCGGATAATATGAATGCTCTGCCTAAGGTATTCTGATGGTGGTACGGATACAAATTGGGTGTCCCTCAAGGTACTGACTGGCCTTGAAGACTTAGCGCCACAATGCGGGGCACTCAGCACTGCAGTCGCCAGAACATCCCCAGGTCAACCACGAAAGGTTACTTTTCCCACAAGGACGGAACTTTCCAGCATCACATACATGTCCTAACGCGACGCGCCTTTCGGAGCCTCAGAACGCCCGACGGTTCCCATCCAAGGTGGCCTGCAGCTGGCCATCACGGCATTTCACGGTCAGGTCTGGGTTGAGGATGCCCAAGTGATCCTTTACCAACAATGCCATGACGAGCGATGTATCTATAGGCGGTCTCTATCCGCAGTACTGCCTGCAACTCTCCCCAACCTTCAACACATGGTGCCTCATGCAGACATCCGACGTTCACGCCCTCAAAACCGTGCCCGAATATGAAGGTAATTTGCCGCAATCATGCGCAGTATCCGAGGCTTACAGGCTGACGAGTGATGCACTACGTAGTCCAAAACTTCTACTTCTACAAGAATCTGCCTATCAAATGGGCACGCATCGTCGGCATCGTTGTAGCCGTAGACGACTTCCCGAACCGGCGCATCTACACGGTTGACGACAGTAGCGGGGCCTGCATCGAATGCACAGTTGCGACAAAGACACCGCCGTCCGACAAGAGCACTACCAACCCCGAAGCCAACGGGTGGTTCACCAAACGGCCGCAGCCGCAACCTCCAGCGGACTGCGTCGACGTAGATGTCGGCACCGTCATCGATATCAAGGGGGGGCTGACGAGGTTCCGCGAGGAGATGCAGATCAAGATTGAAAAGGTCAAGATCCTCCGATCCACGGAAGACGAGGTGGCGCTGTGGGAGAAGCGCACGCGGTTCCGGAACGATGTCCTTCTACCGCCGTGGGTGCTTAGCGAGAGGCAGATTCGGAAGTGTAGGAAGGAAGGGATGAGAGACGCCGAGAGCGAGGAGAGGAAGCGCAAGAAGGAGAAGAGGCGGGAGGAGAGAAAGAAGGAGGAAGACGAGATGCGGCGCAAGACGGAGGCTGCTAAGGCGGCTGCTGCGCAGGAGAACCGGTACCGTGCCTACAAGTTGAAGAAAGGAGATGGATCGCGGCCGATGATGCAGGCCAGCCAAGTCGTAACGGCAGTCTCGACTGCAGCTGCAGCTGCACCAGTTGTAGAGGATCGATATCGTGCCTACAGTTTGAAAAGGGGGCATGCAACCCGGGAACAGCAGCCACAACGGACCACGAGGCCGGCCCCGACTCCGGCCACGGAAGACCGCTATACAGCCTACAAGGTGAAGAAAGGAGGAGACAGTCGGCCGATGATTAGGTCTGATGCTACTACTATTGACACCGTTGCTGCCGCGGCCGTGGAAGATCGGTACCGCGTATACAAGGTGGGCGGGTCTGGGGCTAACATCTTGGAGAAGAAAAGATGAGGGCGTGCAAGGGAAGCAAAGTTCCCTCGATTTCTGATATACGGTTCGGTATAGGCGCATAGGAGTAGACTTGCTTTCGATACCCGCGATTGGCTCTGATATTTCAATTGATTACTGTTGCTGTACACTATATCCTGTGATATACTTCGACTACACACACCTCTAACACCATGTTTCCATCATATTCCGCCGAGCACCGCCTTCAATCAGTGGTGTAGTTCGTCGGCACATGCTCTAATGCTCAGTAGTGAACCAAGTCTAGTCACTGACATTCGCCAAGATGGCGCCAAGGATTCCCCCAAGATCATACTGCCTAGTGACAGGCTGATGGAGCTGGTTACACCGAGAAGAAGCAACCTCTCGTCTCCAATGTGTCAGCATACGGCATCTTCTGACCACTGTCACCAACCTCAATATCTGCTCTCGCAAGAATGGCCTGTAGTTGCAATTACCACCCCGATCCAGCTGCTCAAAGTCAGCGATGCCGCTGCTCTTACGTCACTGGCCCGAGTGCCTCGCTAAATGGAGGGACGACGAGATGCCCCTCCAAGAGTTTGGTCCCTGGAAGAAGACAGACATTCTTCCACCCAACGGGTCTCAATCCTAACTTGCATGCCATCGTATCGAAGGCCAAGTGACCTGTTGCTCTGTCAATTGCACCGGTCATGTTTGCCAATATTGGCTGATTTCCCCTCCCTCTTCGGACTGTCAAGCGGCAGCTTGGATGCCGAAGAGTCTCCACGCCAAGGGCAGGCACGCGTCAGCCAAAGAGGGTCGTTTCGTTGGGTGCTGCATTAATCGTGCATACTTAACCTCATGAGTCGAAACTTCCCATCGCAACATCTCTCTCCAATTGCGCTTGCCAGGAAAAGACCTAAGACTTGCTAGTTGAACCAGTACACATACCTACCTTACTTTATCTTACTTGCCTGTCTTTTGCGGCTGCATCGCGTCTTGCTACCCAACGCAGTCCTCAGACCTGTGCGAGTGCCGCTGTTGCCAGCCACAACATCATCGTCTCTTCATCAGCTCTTGGCCAAAGACTCAGAAGCCTCTCCTATCATCGAGACACGGCCACCACCGACGCCTACCTGTCTTGACCGATCGCGATCCCTCAGTGCCTAGCACCTTATCCTATCTCATCACGCGGCTTTCATCGCTCCGTACCTAGACCGAGTTCCCCGGCAAGCCGCTCTGCATTCCTAACAGGTGAGACCTATCCATTGTTTCTGGAACCTGTACATTCCCGCCACATTCTTTACCCGTACGTTGCGCGGTAACGATGCAAAACTTAACGCTCTGGACTGCGGTAATCCCACTCGTGGGCTTACTACTCTCGGTTCACCGAGGAGTGTCCATTGTTGATATGTGGCGGCTTTTACCATGCGCCTGTTTATATGAAGTTGGAGCACCGCTCCCATACCATTTCATGAAGAGTTGAGGAACTTCTCTCCCTGCCACGCGCTTCATCACATAACCCAGAAGCCAAATTCAGACATAACCCAGAAGCCAAATTCAGGCTTGAGCATCCTCTATATCCTCTTACCAACACGATAAGATCATTGCTCCCCCCGCAATGGCGGGCCTTCATATGAAAATGGGGATCCTCAGGCTGACTTTGATACAGGTCCTCCTCTGCGAGAACGCACTCGCCCTATTTCACCAGCAACACGCTCGCCTTCACGACACTCACCCAGATTCGGTATCTCTTGGTCAACTGAACGTCCGGGCTTTACTCCTCGACAGTCGTGATATAGCTTGCCTAACAGAGACGGCAAACGTAACCGTAACAGTCAGGGCTACGAAAGGATCACAGCAAACACCGCCACCAGCATTAGATACTCAGGTTGCCAACGTTATCACCAGCACCGAAGCCACTGGGACAGTAGTGATCTTGCCATCTTTAACTGACACAGCCCCCCAAACATCCGGATACGTTGCAACTGGTCTTACAGCATCGGGCAAGGTTACGTCTTGCCCTCTTATGCCAAACCCTATCCCGACGCCTTCATCTCTCATCGACTCAGCAGCGCCTGCTACTTCAGTTGCACCGCTTCCATCCGCACCAATGCCTTCCGGAGACATCTTTTCTGAGCCCATCGGGACCGGAGCGCCCCCGGGCACCATCTCTGCCCGCAGTGACCATCCGGTTCCGAGGAAGGGCATCACCTCGACTTCGCCGCTTCAGACAAACAAGTTTTACTCCAACTTCTTCCTGGGAGACCAGACGGCGCCGACGTACACCTACCCTTACGGCATAGCATGGGGGGCAGGACGAGGGGCCGCTGCCAGCTACGGCATGACTATTTCTCACATCGAAGCGAATCAGCGTGTCTTCGGCCCGACCAAGGCGGATTCTGGTGCTGCGTCTTATTTCATTAACCCGGTAGGTATTCAATCAATGGTAATCAGCGCCCAGGAGCTCGGGTCGGACACCGCGGTGGGGATCGACAGCGTCACGGCCTTCTCTGCGACAATTCACCTGAAGCCGAATGCTCAAGCTGTGCCAGCGGTGTCTTTCCCCCTTGTCCAAGGAATGCCCTTTATCACAGCCCAGTATGCCGGCGCCACCCCCGTGATCCGCACGGGAGTCTTCTTCAGGACGGTTACGCGGGTGACACAGGACCCCAAGGCCGGCGTTGCCAAGTACACTTTCCAGCTCGAAGACGGTAAGATCTGGCGGCTGTACGCATATGCGACCACCGGATCCCAGCTCAACCTGCAGGTTGTCAATAACGGTCTTGCCCAATCAACGCAGCCGTTCTACGGAATCATTCAAGTCGCCAAGGATCCCGGAAACGGAGAGGCATTGCTTGACCAGGCGGCCGGTGTTTATCCCACCACAGTCGCGCTGTCTGGTTCTGTGAGCGGCACCTCGGGCTCGTACACGTTCAAGTTTGCCAAGGATGGTCACCCTGACGGCAAGCTGGTCATGTACGCGCTACCGCATCAAGTCTCCTCGTTTGATTCCACGACGAAGAATGGCGTCCAGCCCGTCCAGCTCATGACCCCTGCCAAGGGAATTGCGACTGCAGTTCTGGCTGATCAGTGGACGATGCAAGAAGCGAACTTGCCTGTTAGCATGGGTTTCGCACCTTGGAGTCCTGACAAAGGCAGCCTCACCACGCTGTCAGACAATGCCAAAGTGGTGATCCGCGGGATAGCAGCCCAGGAGGTATCCCAAGACATGATGGCTCAGTCTGACCTAGACTCCATGTACTTCAGCGGAAAGGTAAGTCTACTTCAGATGCCTGTGGGACATCTCAACTAACTCGCAACTAGGCCCTGGCCAAGTTTGCCATATTGATTATTGTGATCAATGATATTTTGGGAGACCCGGCATTGGCACAGTCAGGCCTGAACAGGCTCAAGGCAGCGTTTGCAACGTTTGCTACCAACAAACAAAAGTACCCGCTGGTATATGAGAGTGAGTTGTGGTTTCTTGAGAGGATATATACATCCCGCTAACCAGACCCAGGCGCTTGGGGAGGTGTCGTGTCTTCGGCAACCTACGTCACGGGCAACGACGGCGCCGACTTTGGCAACACGCAGTACAACGACCACCATTTCCACTATGGCTATCACATTCTTGCAGCCGCGGCCATTGCTCATTTGGACCCGAGCTGGCTGGCAGCGAACAAGGACTATGTGAATGCCTTGGTGCGAGATGTGGCCAACCCCAGCACCCAAGATACCTACTTCCCTACGTGGCGTGCTTTCGACTGGTACCATGGCCACAGCTGGGCACACGGTCTATACGCCTCGTACGATGGAAAGGTGAGTTGAACTTTGGCTCAACGACTGAAGCACGACAAACTAACATCACGGAAAACAGGACCAAGAATCAAGCTCCGAAGACATGATGCACGCCTACGCCCTCAAGATGTGGGGCGACGCCTCGGGCGACAGCATGCTCTCGTCGCGAAGCAATCTCCAGCTCTCCATCATCGCCCGCGCCCTCCAGGACTACTACCTCTACAAGAGCGACAACGCCGTGCAGCCGCCCCAGTTTATCGGCAACAAGGTGGCCGGCATCCTCTTTGAGAACAAGATTGACCACACGACCTACTTTGGCGCTAATATCGAGTTCATCCAGGGTATCCATATGATTCCCCTCCTCGCGCCCTCGCCCTTTGTCCGCACACCGGCTTTCGTAAAGGAAGAGTGGGACGTGTACTTTAGCAACGGACGCGTCGATACTATCGCGGGTGGTTGGAGGGGTATCATCTATGGAAACCTTGCGACGATTGACGGTAAGACGGCGTGGGACTTTTTCAACAGCTCGAACTTCGATCCTAGCTGGATCGACGGCGGCGCGAGTTTGACGTGGTACTTGACGTATGCAGCATGTAAGTCTTCAGCTTCCACCGAGCCTATAACAAGCAGATACTAATACCAGATCGTACAGTGATGGGCAACGTCTAAAACGTTTTCCAACGTCACAACCCACATGGAAACACATCAGTCCTAATTAACACTCATACGACTGGTGGACGAAATTCACGACACGAAGATTAGAAGGGCGGCACCATTCGAATTCGGGTTTCTCTATCCTCTTCCTTTTCCTTTTCCTTATTGCGCGTGGACGAAGTAATGACGACGAAACAACAACGAGCAACGAAGCATGAAATGAAAGAGATGGGAACCTCAATGACAAAACACGACACGAAGTTCCTACGACACACACACACACACACACACACACACACACACGCCCAACTCAAACAAAACCTAGAACTATTATCTTTTTATGAACGAAGAATGGAAAGTTGCTTTTCAGTGTATGAGTATTCGTATACAAGAGTGAAGAAAAATGTCTGTCTGCCAACTTGCCAAGTGAATAAATGCCAAGCCTCTCTCTCTCATCTCAAGTCGTCAACCGTTCATCTGTCCTCTGGATAATAGTGATCTGGCTGATATTACAAGCGATCGTGGTAATAATTCAGACGAAATGAGCCCGCCAAGACATGGCACGCATGCAGCGCCCGTATGAAATGGACCCCGTTAAATCATGTATACGTATCTGTACGAATATACAGAGTGTGCGTAAATGAACAGACGAAAATATGCAATACACCCGGCAATCCAATAAATCTTGGACAGTCAGCTGAAGAATTTCCATTTCCACCGATCGCCGCAAATGTAAAATGCAGGGTCTGCATTTCGCAGCATCATAAATCAGCCAAGCCTTGTGTGTGCGGCGCACCCAACACCACCACCTCACATGCAGGAGACGAGACAGCTAAGGCAAGGTAGCTCAAGCAATGAGCTAGCAGATTGACAAGAAATCCCAGGGGGACGGATGGGTTTCCCTTTGGCAGGGCCCGGATGACGCGTCACCCATCCACGTAACACGGGCCCCCGGCTTCTCTAGCTCTTGGGGGGGAGCGAGGGGTACGGAGTGCGAATGAACGGGAAGAAAAAAAGATTGGGGGCCGGAAGGCTAAGCTTTTTGGTCGCCACAATGCTTATTGCAACTGCTGTTTAGAATCAGGCTGCAGGCCGACAAAAGTCTTGGTTACTATCTCTTGTGCAGAGAAACGATCGACTTGATCAGCCGGATCTGAATCGGATCTTGAAGTCGCAAAGGTGGTGTCGAGATGCCGGTGTCTCCTGCCAGCATCCAAACACCGTAGAGCGACCTGTACGCGCTGACTGTCAGCACTGTGCTTACTTCAGGACATACGGATATCGAGCTTCAACATTCGTGCCGATTGTCGGAATTCAGATATGGTTCTGGCTACGGAGTAGAGACTGACGTTCTGGCGTTCAGAATGTCCATCAACTTGGCTTGCGATGCTGCTGTAGCGTATCAGAGCCGCAGGCGGCTTACAGAGTCAAGAGCCACACAGACTGACTGCCTTGATTGTGTAAACCGAAGAAAAGCCAGTCCCTAAAAGCTGCCGTGGATGCGGGTTCTCGTTAAAGAGTGTTCTTGCCAAGTCCCTGACCAGGTAAGGAGGGATCCTAGACTATTCGGAAGTCGGCACAGCTGGCTCAGGTACGAGGCCTTTCAGCCTGCTAGGGCTTTGACTGACAGTGCACCAGAAATGACATCCCGTGTTGGGGCGAGAACACAAGATGGAATTTGAGTACCAAGATATTCGCGTAACCGTCATACTTACCAAGCCCACGTCTCGGCGGATGGAATAGCAAGGGCACGGCGAACTGTCCCACATTCGTATGAAAAAAAGTCCGCTGTGCCGGCAACTCGTTGTTCTGCCACAACCGGTGGATGCAGTCAGCTTAGAAGCATGAGTGCTGAGGTGGACTTGTGTTTGTCCGTGAGGATTTGCCAAGCTTGATCATCGTTGGCGTTGCTGTTTTTACGGGTATCCTGAAAGTTGACTGTTGGATCTTTACTCCATCAACCTATGGCTTCGTCAACAGCTTCGACCTTCAGGAAGCTACTGCTGCTGCCTCTCGCTGCAAGTCGGCTGGCCAAGCCCTCAAAGCCACGTGCCTATTACGAAGCACCATACGCAACAGACTGCAGATGCTAGGTATGCCATCACCGTAACAATGAATGTGGCAGGAGGTTAGTGGGGGTTGCGGTGTCTGTCAAATGGATGGTGGTGGCTGTGGAGGTGCCAGCGCACGAAATTCGCGTTAAAGCGCGCGCATGAAGCATGGGTGGAGGATGACTCGGGATTCGGCTGGGAAGTAATATCAATCGGCGACAGGCCAGCCTCCGTGCCCGTCCCCGCAATTCAGAGTTGGGTAAGTGATGGCGGAAAGGCTAAAGGAGTGCTCTGGACGAAGTGAAAAGTACTGCAAGGCAGAAATGCCAAGCTTGAAGATCATGAGTCGGACAGTCAGATCGCAAGGCTGTGTGTGTGGCAATGAGCACGTTGGTTCTTCTTCTCGGCTGAGTAAAAGGCCAAGACTGACGATGATTGGCAACGAGGCTTTAGTGAACCGTCATGGTGAGGATCGCAGTGAATGACAACGAATTTATCGATAACGAAACATGACGATAAGGGGTCCAGCGTAAGGGATTTCCTGACGGAAGTAGGCCCCATGTCCGGTCAAGGTGCGAAATGGCATTCAGCAACGATGGATTGGGGGGTCCGCAGATCGTTGCATGGGACTCCGAAAACGAATGGACAGGGCGGACCCCCGCCACCCCCAGCAAGCCAAGGCAAGGCGTTTCGCAGGGCAACCGAAAACAGCATTTGGCCAGGAAGTAGACTCTGGAGCTTGTTTGTCGCCGTCGTTGTCGTTTTGGGTGTAAGACGGAACTCTGGGCGCCCTATCTGAGCCCGAGGTTGTGTGGATGCTCTCCGTATTGTGACCGAAATAACTCGGAGGGTTGAATCGAAGCAACAATCTTCAGACGAGTGCAGGACTTGGGGTCCCCGTTTGAAGTTTGGGACAAAGTACAGTAGTGTGAGTGCGGTGTTAGGTAGCGAGTGCTGTGGTGAATGTGGGCTGGAGCTCGAGCTGTTTGTCGCAAACCGTCCGGTCCCCTGAGCCGAAAGTCAGGACGAATTCCCTGAGAGTGGGACGGCTTCGTGCCGAGACGAGGAATTGTGGAAAGGCAGTGTCAAGCCAAGACTGAGCTTGATCATTTTTGACTCGAAGGTTTGGAAGGGTTGCTGAGGCAATGCGAGGCGGGCACGCAGCTTTGGGTTCGAACAAGATGAGTGTGGGTGACTAACGGGCGACGATAGCGTTTGTGTTTGATTGGGGGTTGTTCGACGAATGTATGATAGCGATGGCCTCTCTTCGTTTTCGATGCGAAGATCCGTATAGTATTCTGAAAACTACTCCTGATGACGAGGGAATGGAAAATTGACAGCAGACGATGACGGAGGACGTGGGAGCTACCCGTAGCGTGACGGATGGGTAGGTACGTATCCCTCGGAACCTTCGTACTTGGGGAATTGGAAGGCGCTCCTACTGGCGGAAATGTGGGAGGGAAGGACCTGAGTTAAGGTACCTTCCATCGACAAGTGACATTGGGATTGGACAGGAGGGACTCCAGTCAGGGAGGGATCCAGGGAAAGCTCACTGCTCAAGAGGGTAAGTGGGCGGGCGCCGAACAGGAAACAGCGGAGAAAGATGAGAAGCAACGCCAGACAACACAGCCACGCTTGGCACCATAGCAAGCTTCCCATTGGGTGTCGTCAACATCACCCCAACCTCACCCCTTCCTTGACTTTGCAAGACTGAAACCTGTTCGCTACTGGCTAGTCCGTTGTATGACGTTTGGGGGGGACTCTGAGAAGCTCTCTTTCTCTCTTCTAGCAAGGTAGCGAGGTAGCTTTCACTGCAAAAAGCCCATGGTCACTCAAAGCTTCTCCTTCCGGCGGATGTTTTAGTGAGGTAGATCCGTAGCCGATGCAGTCATACCAGGGTAATCAACAAAAGTCTTGAATGCCGGTAAAGCTGGATTCAGCAGCCATTGACAAGCTGAATGGTACTAGTGTATCCGTATACCGACGTCGCTGGGTGGGTTTCGATGGGTTGATATGCAAAATGTTGGTTAGGATATGTACCTTTTTGCATGTACCTTGCACTAACAGTAACACCGTTCGTCCTTGCATGTATCCGGGAGGCCGCCCATGCATCCAAAAGTGTCATTCCTCTCTCCCGTCACTCCCTCTCCCTCTCGGCACCACTAAAGCACCACAATCACACACCTTTTCCCACAGAGAGTGAGAGACTCAGCGTCTGTTTCGTCCCGTCCTATTTCTTTTGGGTACCACGGCATCCGTCCCACGTTCTCCATAGTAGCCTGACAGGAAAAGGGGGCTGTGTTCGTTTCTTGTTCAACCCTTCTCCCCAGCCAAGACTCATTTGCCATCGCCTGAACTTCTTGGAACACGGCTTTGGACAACATATTGCTGCCGTTGCTACTTTTCTGGCAACAAATTACAAGCACTATCAAGCAGAGACTTACACAGATACACCCGATACCAAGCTCGCCTCACCTTTTTTGTATCACCGCAGAGACTACCAATTGGTCTTGCCCTCACACACCATCTCTTTCAAACCCGTCAAGACACAGCAACACCCTCCACCTCCTTCCCCCGTAGCCCGTCGTCGAGTCGAGTCGAGTCGCGTCGCTCTGCCTCAGTACTTCCTGCAGTCGTGCTGCAGCAGCATCCATCTCGCATCGTCACGCTCACTCGCACGTTCAATCCCAAGGTCCCCAATCCACTTGGACCCCCTTCGGTCGATACACCGTCCAGATAGATTCCTCTGTACTTTGGACTTGGCGCCCAACACTTGCTTGCCATTGCCTCGCATCCATTGGATCAAGCCGTCACTGAACCGTCCGCTACCTTACCTTACTTACCCCACTCTCTTTGCCGTCGGGCGGCGCAGGCACAGGGCCTCGACCAGAAATCTCATCCGGTCCGTTGCGACTATCACTATCGGAAATACCCACGCAAAAGCTTTGTCTGCAGCTTGGGACTGCCAGCCGTGATAACAAAGAAGAAGAAAAGGCCAAGCAACTCAACAAAGTCACTCGTAGCCGACATCATGGTGTGTAAGTACATTGCAATTCTCCTTCTCCCTGCTTGATCTACGGATATACCTTTTATTCGCACTTTTACCACCTGATCTTTACCTGCCTGAATACATCCCTCTCTGAGCACAATATCTCCGTTTACCTCCCCCCGTCGGTATTGTCTGCCTTGTACTCCCCTCCATTCGTACCTACTTTACCTTCTGGTTTACCTGCGTCTACCAAATCTACCGCACTTCTTCCACGTTCCCACTCTTCCACTTTCCCACTCTTCCGCT